CTTTTATCATCCACAAGAAAGTTTATTGGAGACTACTCGGACAGAACATGGTTTTGCCATGGTGTTCTGTCTGATCAGTCTCCAATAACATTTCTTGTGGATGATACCAACGGTGTGCAATGCTCCTTTCCAACTGGCATAGAATTGTATTCTCATAATAAGTATAAGCAGATGTCAAGAGTCCACTACACTTGCTGAAATCGAAGCCCAAGACAGGCAAAGACGAGGGGGTGCTGCAGCTGCACAGAGAGGTGCAGGAGTTCTCCTCTTTGCTGCCGGTTGCTGAGACAGAGAGGAGGCAGATACCAGCCTCTCCATGGCTGCACGGAGAAGCACAGGATCTGGCAGAAGAATTCTGTCCTATATGCTGCTGAGACAAGGGGAAGGGGGGTGCTGTCGGTGAGGTGTGAGGGCCACATCGGATTCAGCCTGCAGGCTTTGTGTTTGACACATGAGCAATGTTTATAAACACCGTTTAGACTTGAGATAAAGAAAAATAAAGTAACAATACCTTTGTATTTAATCTGTTCCAGTCATCTGCTGTCATATAATGTCAAGAATGGAGCAGTGCTTCTGCAGATAGAGTAAGGTAAGTGTTTAGAGAAGGAGGGGCACAAGTGGTGGAATAGTGCCCCAAATGTCAGAAACCACCTAGATGCCCGGCCTGGCAGCTGGCTTAGTCTCTCAATCAGGGACGGAGAGACTGAGCCATCTGCTCCCATCCCCTTCACAGCCCAGAGCTCCAGTGAGCAATGGAGGGGCAGAGCAGAAAGCCATTCACTGACATTGAAATGATGCTGCATCCACCCGAGTATATATATATATTTTTTTTTTTTACTGAAACCCACACTTTAAAACCTCTTTAACGTTTGTTCAGATTAATAGGAGTGGGCTAGAAATGCTTGAAATTCAATGTGGAAATGGAAATATGATTTTAAATGTTTCCATGGAAACACTTGAATATTTAACCTTTCCTTTTAATTTTTTTTAAATTTTGTTATTCGTTTAGTGCCACGTAAGTCCTCATGCACACTGGACATTTTTACAGCGGCTGTTTTTGGCTTTTGACAGTTTTTTCTACAGCCAGTAAACTCCCCAGCATGTTATCCTATGTGTCCTTGCAGATACAGACTGTAATCAATGTTTTTTGGCAGGGACGTTTTTTGGCTGGAAGAAAAACCCAGAACTAGTGGGTTTCTAGAGGAGTTTTTTAGCTGTAAAAAGCTGTAACGCTGAAAAACGTGGTAAAATGCGGTAAGTCACGGCAAACCAGCGTTTTTGGACTTTCTTTTTTACTAAAAACCTCTAAAAACACAAATGTGAAAAAAACGCAGCCCCCCTTTTTTCATGAGTTTATTTCTGTATTACTACATCTTTCTGTACTCTTGTTGAACTTTAGTTTATAAATGGGTACAGTGTTGCATGACCGCGCAATTGTCATTCAAAGTGTGACAGAGCTGAAAGATGAAAATTGGCCTGGGCAGGAAGGGGGTATAAGTGCCCTGCAGGCAAGTGGTTAAACAGGAGATGTTATGGAATAAATGTATCACATTAAAAGTAAAAAAAATGTTTTCCTCTGAAAGCAGTTACTCATACCCATCGATATTTGTTATTGTTCTTACTTTCTGTAATCACTTTGCATTCTGATATGCAAGACTGAATGTTTAATTTTGTCTGTTTGGTGAAATAAACAATTAAAAAAAAAGTCGAAAAAAAGTGTACTTTTTTTAGCTTTGTAACTTTTTGTTTAATGAACTGCATAAAAACATTTGAGCAAGACATTATCACCAAAAGAAAGCCTGGTTTGTCCTAAAACTTTGTTATTTCAAGCAATGAAAAAGTTATTATTGAATAAACAGGTCAATAGCAGAAATATAAATATTGCTCTGGTACCTAAGTATAGGCTATACCAGCAATGGGCAAACTACGGCCCGGCGGACCTTTTAATCCGGCCCGCGGAGCTAGGCTCCCGCTAGGCTCCTCTCACAGTCCGCCCTGAAGACCGGTGCAGCATGAAAATCTGTCTCCTGTGAGGATCTGTCCCCCTCGACGTATCTGCGCATGTGCCGGAGATCGCCGATCGGCTGCTAATGCCTGAAACTGGCACATGCGCAGATACGTCGAGGGGGACAGATCCTCATAGGAGACAGATTTTCATGCTACACCGGAACGAAGCGGGAACACGGCGAGAGGAACGCGCGGAGCAAAGGTAAGTAAATTGAATTACTATAGGGGGATGAATTACTATAGGGGGGATGAATTACTATATGGGGGATGAATTACTATGGGGGATGAATTACTATATGGGGGATGAATTACTATATGGGGGATTAATTACTATGGGGGATGAATTACTATATGGGGGATTAATTACTATGGGGGATGAATTACTATAGGGGGGATGAATTACTATAGGGGGGATGAATTAGTATATGGGGGATGAATTACTATGGGGGATGAATTACTATATGGGGGATGAATTACTATGGGGGATGAATTATTATGGGGGATGAATTACTATATGGGGGATGAATTACTATGGGGGATGAATTACTATATGGGGGATTAATTACTATGGGGGATGAATTACTATGGGGGATGAATTATATTGCTTACTATGGGGGAATATTACTATAGATGACACATACACATCATTCATCTACTCTTGGTCCGGCCCCCGGGTCCAATATATGAACACATTGCGGCCCTCAAGTCAAAAAGTTTGCCCACCCCTGGGCTATACTGACATGAGAGCTAAAGTGGCTACAGTCTAAATCCCCTTTTTTATTAATCTACAGACTCCATACATACAGATACACTGAATTTTCAGAACTAGACATCTTCTACAAAACGTACCTTGGACGTTTAGATCTTATTGTTGACCAAAAGCACAGAGAAAGCAACGCAGACAACACATTCTTCAAGAAGTAAACTCGCCCACAACACGTGACAAAATGTCTAGAAAATAGCTGCAGTGAATATACAATCAGATTAAGGGAAATTGTGTTAAATTGAATTCAGTTGCAGTTTTTGGTAAAACCCTTAAACCGGCCTGCTTTCCTGCTAAGTGTAATCTGGTCTGCACTTGTCCACACCCATCTCTATTTACTGGAGCAGCACAAGGGCAGGACAATGTTCCATGAGATGAGGACCAGTTCACTTTATCACTCTAGTACTCTGATCTTATCACTCACGCAGCAGTTTATATTGGATGGCTTGGTAAAGCCGCAGTAACTGTGGCCATTTGAAAAGGTTACATTTTCAAGTACAGAATTGTGCTGTGGCTTTCCATATTTGTGAGCCAGATGTAACAAAAAGGAGAATGAAGAAATGACTGGAATTGTCCATCCTAACAGATAGCACTTGAGGCTTTTAGGTCCATAGGTAATGTATAAGTGCAGATTATTTTTTACAGCTTAGTGTGAAAATTTCTAATTTTGTTTTCCTATGAGAGAAGACTGTCATCTCACATACCAGCAGCTTCACTCAGGCGCTGCCTATACCTTGTAAATTAGCGATCTATCAGCTAGGATTCATGTGTCAGTTGTTATATATGATCCTGGTATTATTTATAAAGAAACTAGGGTTGCCCTTTAATGCCAGGTCTTTTTCACATTGGCAGTAGAATGTGTCATATAGTTATTAGCTGACATAAAATCACAACTAGTAGTAAATGTTTATTTTACACAAAGAACATACTGTTATACACAATATACTTGGGATAATAATCAAATAACACACTGACTTAACAGTTAAGAATGCATTAGAATAAAAAAAAAAAGTACAGTTTTCAGATTATAATATGGTAGACAAACAAACTTTCCTTTCCTTCCTCTACTTGTTATGAAACTGTCAGTTCCACACACTACCTGTTGCTACTGGTATTTGTTTACAGCAGTGGTCTCCAAACTGTGGCCCGGGGGCTGGATATGGTCATTTGCTTACCTTTATCTGGTCCTTGGGGCACTATTCCACCAACTGACACCAATGATGGAGCACCATTCCCCCTACTGACACCATCAGTGGGGCACTATTGTGCTCACTGATAAACAATAGAGCACTATTCTTCCCATGGATATCAACAATGGGGCACTATTCCACCTTTTTAAAACCAATGATGGGTACTGATGCTGGGGCATTTTCTACTCCCACTGGCTACAGTCCAGCCCCCCTAAACCATGAAGGACAGTAAACTGGCCCTTTTCTTAGAAAGTATGGAGACCCCTGGTTTACAGCATTACAGAAGCCAATAAATATATAAGTGTTGTCATAGCCTATGTTATTCACATAGTAGATAGGGACCTATTCATGCAGTAAACGGAGGACCTCAGAAGGTCATAAAGATAATAAGAAGTATCCTAGCAAACTACCAGTAGTTATTGTAAGAAAAAGTGTCATCTATAGCTAATAGAAAAGCAGACACCAAAACGGAAAAGTGCACTTTCTGTCACAACTGGTGTTCTTTTAGCATTACCATTCTGTTTGTTAATAAATACAATGGGGTTGATTTAATGTGGTTAATATAATCTGATGCTGCTTTCCATAGAAACTAATCAGCTTCCATTTTTGTTTGTCAAAGCGTTAATTGAACAAGCTGAAGTTAAAAGCTCTTTGGCCACCATGCACAGCTACACCAGATTTTGCACTCTCCAGTTTCATTAAATCAACCCCAATATGTTGAAATAATTCAGGCCCCTTATAAAATAATAATATAATAATATAACAATAAATATTGAATAAACTAAACTTCAGATAAGTTATTAATTACATTTTTCCTAGGATGTGTCTGTCAAGCTATGTCTGTTCCTCTTGTTTGATCTCAAGATGTATGTTATACTAGTTGGCAAAAACGAAGCTTAACTTAACTAACCTCATAGAAGTGAATCACCAAACTGTATATTGCAAACAAACTTATGTAATCATAACAAAGAGTTAAGATAATGGCATGCTTTACTCCTAGGCTTAGTTATTAACAGTAGCTTAAATTTCAGCGCCAATCACTATCGTGCTCCAAGTCCATAGTAATAGGGCTCATCAGGACGGTAGCCATATGCTGTTGTAGGCCGTCCAGGTATACCAGTCGGTTGTCCAAAATTATCAACACCAAGTCTACAAGAAAACAGAAACATACAACACATTACTAAACTTTTTTGTTGTGAGATAATTTTTTTTGACATCTTGTTTCAGTCCATTTAATCACTGAATTAAAAGAAGCTGATTAGATGAGTGGGAGTGGTTCATGACAAGCTATTTCTGGTCCAAACTCCAGCACTATTATGTAGAGGCCTCTGGGACATGTGTCAGAGCTCTGAAAAGCAGGGAAAAACACATGACAGGGATTCTAACCCTTTCCAACTGTTCAAATGTAAGATTTGGCTAGACCTACACTTAAATTAGTGTAAAAAAAATTTATTTACTGTGAATCAATATCCCATGATAATAGGATTTGGAAACTTCCAAGAAAGTAAATACTTATTCACAGTTTTTAAAATAATATATTGATCTCTTACAGCTCACATTTTAAAATGTAAAAAGAAAATCAATTGTATCATTTTAAGAAGAAACCTAGGAAGTGCTAAAACATGCTTGGTAAACTGAAAAACAAGGGCTGTTCCAGCAGCTTAGCAGTGTTCGGTAATGCAGCACCATTTTCAACACTGTTCCAGTGTTTTATCACCTCTACGACTTTCTCAAGACATAAAAAAGTGCCTGTATATATTAGTATATACCCTCTTCTCACATAATACAATTTACTATGTATTTGCTTTTCATACCTAACCTGCTACTAAATTGCATATCTATAAATTGCCTACTAATATTACATACATCAACATATTGTCCATGATAAAACACTCCCACATTGTAAATATATATACACATACAATATATATAAATATATACACACACTCTCTATCTCACAGAAGTGAGTACACCCCTCACATGCCTAAGAGGGTTAAGGCAGTGCTGGAAAATAATGGTGGCCACACAAAATATTGACACTTTGGGCCCAATTTGGACATTTTCACTTAGGGGTGTACTCACTTTTGTTGCCAGCGGTTTAGACATTAATGGCTGTGTGTTGAGTAATTTTGAGGGGACAGCAAATTTACACTGTTATACAAGCTGTACACTCACTACTTTACATTGTAGCAAAGTGTCATTTCTTCAGTGTTGTCACATGAAAAGATATAAAATATTTACAAAATGTGAGAGGCGTACTCACTTCTGTGAGATACTGTATATATATATATATTATACACACATACACACAGTGTGCTTGAAAAAGTATTCATACCCCTTTAAATTTTCCACATTTTGTCATGTTACAACCAAAAACATAAATGCATTTTCTTGATATTCTATTTGATAGACCAGCACAAAGTGGCACATAATTGTGAAGTAGAAGGAAAATTATAAATGGTTTTCCAAATTTTTTACAAATAAATATTTGAAGAGTGTGGCGTGCATTTGTATTCAGCCCCCTTGAGTCAATACTTTGTAGAACCACCTTTTGCTGCAAGTCTTTTTGGGTATGTCTCTACCAGCTTTGCACACCTAGAGAGTGAAACTTTTGCCCATTCTTCTTTGCAAAATAGCTCAAGCTCTGTCAGATTGGATGGAGAGCGTCTGTGAACAGCAATTTTCAAGTCTTGCCACAGATTCTCAATTGGATTTAGGTCTGGACTTTGACTGGCCATTATAAGACATGAATATGATTTGATCTAAACCAGTAGTCTCCAAACTATGGCCCAGGGGCCAGATGTGGCCCTTTGCTTGACTCTATCCATCCCTTGGGACACTATTCTTCCCGCTGACACTATTATTGGGGCACTATTCCTCCCACTAACACCATCAATGAGGCACTATTCCTCCAGCTAAGACCAATGATGGGGCACTACTCCTCCCACTGACATCGTCAATGAGGCACTATTCCTCCCATTGATACCAACCATGGGGCACTATTCCTCCTGATAAAACCAACAATGGGGAATTATTCCTCCTGTTAAAACCAAAGATGGGGCAGTGTTTACTCTAACTAATGCCGAGACATTTTCTACTCACACTGGCCACAGTTTGGCCTCGCTAAATCGTGAAGGACAGTAAACTGGCCCTTTGTTTAAACCATTCCATTGTAGCTCTGGCTGTGTGTTTAGGGTCGTTGTCATGTTGGAAGGTGAACCTCCGCTCCAGTCTCAAGTCTTTTGCTGACTCTAACAGGTTTTCTTCTAAGATTGCCCTGTATTTGGCTGCATCCATCTTCCCATCAACTCTGACCAGCTTCCCTGTCCCTGCTGAAGAAAAGTATCCCCACAACATGATGCTACCACGATTCATGGTAGGGATGGTGTGTTCAGGGTGATGTGCAGTGTTACTTTTGTGCCACACATAGCGTTTTGCTTTTAGGCCAAAAAGTTCAAATTTGGTCTCAAGTGACCAGAGCATCTTCTTCCACATGCTTGCTATGTCCCCCACATGGATTCTCGCAAACTGCAAATGGGATGTTTTATGGCTTTTATCTATTCCCATAACTACAAACTACTTCAGTCTTTAGAAGAAACAATAACATTTCATATTATATATTTATTACCCTATACACTTGCCCATTGTTCTTGTGACTCTCTCCATGTATTATACAGCACAGAAGTCTGTATATCACATATTTAGTATCACAAGAAATAAAATGATGAAGATCATTTGGCAACTAGACCTTAGACCAGCAATGGGCAAACTACGGCCCGCGGGCCATATACGGCCCGGCGGACCTTTTAATCCGGCCCGCGGAGCTAGGCTCCCGCTAGGCTCTCTCACAGTCCGCCCTGAAGACCGGTGTAGCATGAAAATCTGTCTCCTATGAGGATCTGTCCCCCTCGACGTATCTGCGCATGTGCCGGAGATCGCCAATCGGCTGCTAATGCCTGAAACTGGCACATGCGCAGATACGTCGAGGGGGACAGATCCTCATAGGAGACAGATTTTCATGCTACACCGGAACGGCGCGGGAACACGGCGAGAGGAATTGACACATTGGGGACGGGGGATGAATTAATATGGGGAATGAATTACTATATGGAGGGGGATGAATTACTATGGGGGATGAATTACTATATGGGGGATGAATTAATATGGGGGAAAGGTAAGTGAATTGACACAGGGGGGACTTGGGGACTTTACTATATGGGGGATGAATTAATATGGGGATGAATGAATTACTATATGGGGGATGAATTAATATGGGGGATGAATTACTATATGGGGGATGAATTATTATTATGGGGGATGAATTACTATGGGGGGGATGAATTACTATGGGGGATGATGATTACTATGGAGGGGGGATGAATTACTATGGGGGATTAATTACTATATGGGGGATGAATTACTATGGGGGATGAATTACTATATGGGGGATGAATTACTATGGGGGGTGATGAATTACTATATGGGGGATGAATTACTATGGGGGATGAATTACTATATGGGGGGATGAATTACTATGGGGGATGAATTACTATATGGGGGGAATGAATTACTATATGGGGGATGAATTACTATGGGGGATGAATTACTATATAGGGGGGATGAATTACTATGGGGGATGAATTACTATATGGGGGATGAATTACTATATGGGGGATGAATTACTATGGGGGATGAATTACTATGGGGGATGAATTACTATAGGGGGGATGAATTACTATATGGGGGATGAATTACTATGGGGGATGAATTACTATATGGGGGATTAATTACTATGCTTACTATGGGGGAATATTACTATACTTACTATGGATGACACATACACATCATTCATCTACTCTTGGTCCGGCCCCCGGGTCCAATATATGAACCCATTGCGGCCCTCAAGTCAAAAAGTTTGCCCACCCCTGCCTTAGACAGTAAAATTACAATGTAATAAGTGGATGGTATTATTTGCATAGCGTGGTTGACTTCTTGTGATCTGGGGTCAAGTAAGTCAAGTAAGCAAAGCATATGCAGGGTTAAAGAGGTGCCAAACCCTCAGCAAGCCAGCATTTAAATTTCTACCTCTTGCCAAGCGCCCCTTTAGCGTTTGACAGACGTTTAGGGAGCATTTGAGGAGCATAAAAAATGCTTCCCAAATGCCTGTATAATGCCCTATGTGCATATCTGAGGAGTTTTATAGGCATTTGCCAAACGTTAAAACCACACCACAAATGCCTATATTGAAGTTTGATGGTATTAACGCTCCGCAAACGCTTGCCAGGCATTTGAGGAGCATCACCATAGACTTGAATGGGAGGCTTCAACTCCTCCTGACTGGACATGAGGTGTCAATTTTGCCATGACGCTAACGTTTCAGTGTGAACAGCACTGTGTGCTGCCATATGTAGAATTTTCATAGGTGTTTGAGGAGCATTAAAAACACTTCTCAAACGCCTGTCTAACGCCTGCTAACAAAGCTAGTGTGAACTTAGCCTTACTGTCGATGTGGGGAGAAAAGTTGGTGGCTTTCACAAAGGTTTTGGAGGTACTATTAAAGGATAAGTTCACCTTTTTTCTTTTTCTAAATTCCAGCTTCCCTAGGTACCAATATAGCATTAATGTACTTCTTTTGCAGAAATAAAAAAGCTTTCTATTTATCCTACACAATCCTTACCTCTGTGCTTGTTGTATAAAAAAAAAAACAAAAACAAAAAAACGTCTCCATTACTTCCTGGACAGACCATAGGACATGACACAGGAAGTAGTTCTTCAGCTGAGTACTTCAGCAGCTGACCTCATTAGCACACATCCATCATCTACCCTCCTATTCCAGGAGATTGCTTCCACCCACCTCCTCAGGTGAATGTTTTTAAATACAATCAGTGATCACCATTCTCACTAAACACACAGGTATCTTTTTTTTTTTTTTTGCTATCTTAACTCTCATTTTTCATAGAATGTTCATTTGGCAGAGTGTGCAGGAGCTAAGTGATCAGATAACAGCCTATGTAGATAGAACTGTAGTATTAAAAACAGGAGAAGTATGTCTTGGGTTTTTTTTTAAAGCTCACCATACACTATACAATCTGATTGTAAAATCTCCTTTAGATCTACCATCAATTAAGTAGTGCAAGGGCCTGCCTGATTGGATACAGAGTGATTTGATATTTAGGGGTGTCCTCCTATTCCATAGTTCTGGTAAATCTAAAGGAAAGTGTACAGAGATTGTCATGTTTCACATGACTGTCATATTGACTGCCATATGCCTTTAAGTGTTTCTATAATTTTGTTTCTGCTCCTCCCTTTCCTTTGTTTTAGTTAATGCTGTATAGATAGCCCTCCCCCTTTCCCAGAAATGCATTGCAGCTCTAGCCTCATGTCATGGAGCAGGAAATATTATGATCTTTTGACCTATCGAATGTTCATTGTTGTAAGATTCTCTCAGTTTATGGAATAAACTTCACAAGATCTACAAGATGTCTTATCGATTGAGTCACTGACTGTGGTATCCAACTGAGGTTGAAGTTATCACTATCTCATCACAACTGTACGTTACAGAGATCACACTATCAATGCTTAGATTGTAGAGAGAGAACAGAGATTGTACAATCAGATTGCATAGTGTATATCCAGCTTTATAGAAGTACATAAGAGGAAATGAATGGAGACACTCAACTGTCATGCCCCATTCACATCTTTGCATAACAGATGTGGGGGCGTTTTGGAGTGTTTTCGCTTGTTGTGCATAGGGCAGCCCATTCACTTGAATGGGCTGGCCTACGTACAACAATCACCCCAAAGAAGCTCTAGAATAATTTTTTTACAGTGGAGTGTGATGCTTTCTTTTACCATGATTTTTGGTGTGTTCGCCTTGCATTTCAGAAACACATTGCAAAGTACACCTTTACTGTGCAGTTTGCATTGCGTTCCGGCACACACAGATTTGTATGGAGCCTTGTTCTGGTGTAAACAAATACACAAAAAGGAGATTGTACCATCAGATTGTATAGGGTATGGTGAGCTTTACAGAACCCAGGACATAGTTATTCTGCTTTCACTACTACAGCTCTATCCAAATAGGCTGTTATCTGATTGCTCAGATAACTCTGCCAAATGAACGATCTATGCAAACTGACAGTTAAGGTAGAAAACAAAATCAATGCCTGTGTATTTAGTGAGAAAAGTGATCACTGGTTGCATTGACAAAACATGCACCTGAGGAGGTGGGTGAGATAGTGGTGTCCTGGAGTAGGAGGGTAGATAGTCCTGCAGGGTGTGTGTTAATGTGTTAATGAGGTCAGTTGTCAACTATTTCCTGTGTCACGTCCTAAGGTCTGTACAGGAAGTATTGGCGATGTTTTTTTTATACAACAAGCACCAACACTGAGGTAAGGGCTCTATAGGATAAATAGAAAGCTTTTTTTATTTCTACAAATTTTTTCTCTTTATTCCAGCTCCCCTGTAGATACGGAAGCTTAAATTTAGAGGGGGAAAAAAAGTGAACTTGGCCTTTAATCAGTTATTTGAACTTTTTGCACAAATATGTTGGACATTTATTCACCTGATGTTTTGATCTTTTTTGCACTTTTGGTACAAATAAATTGCACATTTATTCATTTGTTCTTTAATACTGATGTATCAACATAATGCCAAACTCTTTCCATACCTAATCTGCTATTTACATCTCCGTGTATTCCTACTGAAATTACCTACATAAACAATTTATCCAATAAGATCTAATATTTATACCTATTAATAATAAAAACTATTCAAATCAATGTCAATATTTAGTTGGCTAGGTGTATATAAGTATATAATACAAATCATTTAGTTTCACTTTGTGAGATCTTCCTTTTAAAATTGGGTATCCTATACTTCCCAACAATCCATCTCTCAGATATGTAAACCACTCTGGTCTTTAGAAAAAAACATTATAGTTCTTAAAGCCTCAACTTATAATATTACTTAATCTTATCAAGATAGAATACTGCAATTTTTATTTTTTTTATTGCTGACCACAATATTAAACAAAGTCTGTACAAATCCACCATACATTCACTTGAAGGAATTTACCATATGTTAATAATATTTTTTTTTACCAACATTGTGCATGAAAAAAGAGCTGTAAATGTTCATGACCTATTTGTGCTCTGATCACAGGGTAAAGTAATGAGCAGAACATTTCCAACCAAGCTGCTGTAAATATTTGTGCATTAGACAATGGTTTTGCAAACAAAAGCTTGCTTTGGATACTAGGATATACTTACAGTAGCTCAAGACAGAGATACAGAGAATGCAACAAAACGTATACTGAGATACTAACCCAGCACTAAATGAATGCTGACCAACAAGGTCTCCATTTTGCAGCTGATAATCATTGAAAAAGTCTGGGCTCACTGCACCTTCAGGCTGCATTAGTCCTTCTAGGAAAGAAAGCAGAACAGAAATAAAATTTAGCCTCATAAAATTAACTTTTTTACTTAAACAAGATTTTCACAGCTCTTTCAACAACATTTTTAAAGTTAGGTTTAATCTATGACCACAAAATACCACCGAACAGGCACATGTGATAATTACACAATAATGAGTGAATGTTGATAAAGGGAAAACATGTTCTCTAATAAATATACAAAAAGACTAAAACTAAATGCAAAGAATAATGGTATCTGATAAAAGATAATTGTAATAGTTAAAAGGAGAATCACTAACAAAACTTTTCACTACAGAAATCATTCAGCTATAGTTATTCATTTTAAAAATACAAAAAAAGAATAAAGAATGATGCAAAAAGGGAACAAATTTAAACTGATGCATGGTAAACTGCTACAGAAAATCTAAAAAAAATTTGAAATATGAAGACTGAATGAATATTTAGGTTTTAAACTCATACTCCAGAAGGTCGCCATGTTCTCGGAAATGGTAATGCATAACATGCTAAAAGTATGGCTGTCATTATCAAGAATGCAAAGCAATATAGCTTTATTATATAGATAATAATATATAAAGCCATGAAATCATGGTTTCGTCACCCATATATTGTCATGGATTTATTCTTCTTATTTAATGTATTCTTATTTTTATGCTACAATATTTCTCTCATTGCAGGCACGGCATCCTTTTTAACACAAATGTAAAAAAAAGTCGTTAATTATTTCTACAATCATACAAATATTTGCCTGTAACATTCTTTGCCACTGTTGTTGATCCGCAGCCAACATTCCTCTATTTCCACTCTGCCCATGTTCTGCATTAAGCAAATTACAGGAGTAAATGCCCTGTCCTAGATTTCCTCTTTGCAAATAATGCATCAATCTGTTTGGTTGGATAATACAGGGATGTGCAATTCATATCGCTCGACGCCCAGGAAATGCAATTCCAGGCGACGGGCAGGTAGGTTTTTTTTTTGCCTTTAGCCCTGCTGCAGGCAAGCAGCAGGGCTCACCTGTCAGGTGGAAGCATTCGGGTGCCAGCGCTGCCGCCTGATTGCTTCAACACAGCCCACAGTGCCAGCCTCTTCCCCCTGGCCACTATATGTCCCAGGCATCGCTTGCCCCTCTGCGGGCCTGGGACTGATTCAGTGGGTGTCGGTGGGATGTGGTATAGGGGGGGAGGAGAGCGGACACATCAGCTTCCTTCCCCTTCTTGTCCTCACCCGGAAGTGATGTGACGTCACTTCCGGGTCCCTGTTTGACAGATTCCCGGTCATTGAGGCCGGGAAAGAATGTAATGTGGTGCAATGTGCACTGCATTACATTCAGGGGAGCACAGGGGAGATATCCAGGGTCCCTGGATGTCTCAAAAAAGAACCTGTCACCAGACTTTTTGTCCCCTATGTGGTAAAAAAAAGTAAGGAAAAAAAAAGAAAAAAAAAAAAAAGGAAGTTATACCCAAGCATATAACCCCCTATTTTTCAAGGCCCCCACCCCACATATGTATGCACAAACATAAAAGCACGCGCTGGGGCTCCTACACATGAAAACGTTGATTGCGATACACACGTTACATATCGCTGCTCACGCCAGAATGAAAGCAATCATTCTAGCACGAGACCTCCTCCATAACGCTAAACTGATGACCTATAAGGGGCTTTAAAATAGAAAATATAGGGTACTAAAGTTTGTTGCGTTTCACAAGTGCACGCAAATTTAAGGTTTGACATGTTGGATATCTATTTACTAGATGCAACCACGTCTTTTATATAGTTTAAAAAAATTGGATAATTTATTGCTTTTTGTGCCCTAAATTTAACTTAAGTGTATTTTGTACTGAAATCATGTGTTTCCTAGACCTTTGTCATAATATCGTGCGACATAAAACATTGGAAATACCGCTATTTTATTCTCTAGGATCTCTGATTTCAGAAAATATATCATGTTGGGATTTTGTGTCGTTTTCAGGCCTTAAACGATTTTTTAAACGTGTGCAAAAAAACGCAAAAAAAATACAGCTCTGGCAGTGAAATGGATAAAGGATACGGCCGACACTTCCCTTTCCTGACGAGCACCCAATCGGTGCTCATTACACTGCAAAGTCTCTCTCCTCCCTGCTAGTCCCGGGTGTGGTGCTAGAGAGAGGCAGGGAGGGGAGGAGGAGTAGGAGATAAACAGCGCAATGTTAAAAATATTAAACGTTTAAGTTGCCATAGAGCCCCTTTTGAATTTAAAAGCCCCAGACATTACTTAAAGCAGATTTAAATACGTGTTTGGTTAAAATTTATGTTTTTTTTATCAGGACAAGTAGATTGTCATGAGGGACAAGTAGATTGGGACACTGATTTAGTCCCTGGACAAGTAGTTTTTTCCAAAATTTCCACACCCCTGTAAATATTGCTGGTTTTGCATAATTCAGAGTAGAGGTGGGAAACAGTTTGAGGAAACAGTGGCTTGGCCAAGTATAGTACACTCATAGCCACCCAGCCTGTCTGTTTTTGCCTACTTCCATATAAAATACATTTTAATTTGACAATATCAGTATTTTTAAAAAAAGATATACTGACAATCACTTGTGAACTATTTTCTGTCACATACTCTTGAGTATGCACTTCTATAACCACTTGCCCTCCCGAGGATTTTTACCCTCCTTCCTGAAGAGGCCATTTTTTGTGATATGGAGCTGCGTTACTCAAATGAAATTTATGCCCTTTTTTCCCCACAAATAGAGATTTCTTTCAGCGGTATTTGACTTTCATTGTTTGCGCTATAAACAAAAAAAAGACTTACAATTTTGTAAACAATATTTTTGACTTTTTAATATAAAACATATCCAATAAAAAAAATTTTCAAAATAAAAAAATTTCTTCATAAATTTAGGCCAAAATGTATTCTGTTACATGTCTTTGCTAAAAAAAAAAAACCCAATACATGTAAATTAATTGGTTTACATGAAAGTTATAGCGTCTACAAATGGCGGTATATATACTGGAATTTTTTTGTTAATATACTAGTAATAGCGGCGATCAACGACTTATAGTGGGACTGCGGTGAGCATTCGGACACTGGGTGGGAATGGACTAATGGCCGCTGACAAAGGGTTAACTGTGTGCTGTGTTTTACATCATGTGCTGTGTGTGTTTTACTAGGGAAACATGCTGCTGTGTATTTCTCTGCTGTGCAGAGAAGTACACAGCAACAGGTTACTGCTGGCAGCAGAGAGACCTGTGCTGTTTACACACAGGTCGCTCCCCTGTCACTGTTCCTCGGTGATTGCTGAGTGCCGATGGGGAATCTCCGTCCGAGACCCGGTGACCGACATTTGTAGCCGCCAATGACAGCGCGGGTGATTTTGGGCATCCCTGCCGTAGTAGCAGTAGTTCTGCTATAGGGCGACGGGGAAGCAGATAAAATAATAAAAATGGCTGCCCTGGAGATTTAACCCGTGACCACTGCACTGTAAGTGCAAGGTTTAGCAACTAAACTAATAAGCACTTTGACTAGGAAACTCAATGTGTCTAGAAACAAAAAAAAGTAATTCTATCACACTAGGAAAAAAACATAACAGTAATGACAAGGGATCTTTTAAAGTGTTACTAAACCCAGAACAGTAAAATCAGCCTATATATGCAGTAAAGCATGCTTGTTATACTCACTGTGGTACCTAAGGGTTAATCCTCTGCATTGTGTGAAAAGGCTGTTTGATCCTGACTTCTCTGTTCCTCTGCTTTTTCAAGCAAACACCACTTATCTCTAGACTGAACCATAGGCAGTTTGGTGTACATTGCTAAAGGGTTTATTTTTTTCTTGGGAGAGCGCATGTGATCAGCACAGGGCCAATCAGCACTGTCCAGACAGAGGTCAGGGGATTTCCATCCTCCTAGAGCAGAAAGAAAACTCCTCCTACAAGCTTTAGCTAGTGCTGGGCTGGACATAGATAGAAGCCACAAGACTGCTCTAACTTCTGATGAGAAAAAGTATTTAGCACTTTATATTTACTAAACTAATTGCACTTCCATGTTCTATGTACTGTGGGAGACCAGATATAGTGAATGCAGGGTCCTGGGTTTAGTAACACTTTAAGTTAAACAAGTTGCACGTGTGGCAGAATATATAACAGCATAAATGCTGGTGTTTGTAGTATACCAAACAAACTCTGGCAGTCACTGTGTGTCTCACAACAAAACTATCTCACTACCTAGGGGAGTCCACAATAGGCACACTTTGTCTAGTAAAGATTGCCATCCATTCAACATTCTCCTGTGATTTGCTGGATAGACCTATGATGGACAGGAGGAGGGATAAAGCTTTCAGCTGCTATTGTTTGGCCCAGATACCCAAAATGTACTGTGGAATAGAATGTATTCCAGAACTACAAACTGAAGCTAATTCTGCATACTATGCTCACATATTAATTGAAAACAAACATTTTAATTGCTGTAAATGTATGTTTTGAGAGTAACATCTTACATGCTGGTCTTCGGGCAGGAGGAAGGTATTTAAAGAGAGGGTGGATGTGGCTATCAATGCAGACAGTGTAGCTGTTTGGCCACACTAATCAAAATGGCTTTAATACTTTCTGTTACTAATCAAAAAACAAAGTATAAAGATTGCTCTTCTTTTTCTTTTGTGTGAGGGAAAGTTGGAGATACCTTTCACATGGAAAGATACTCTGGATAATAGAAGCTTTAAGCCGATATGAAAATTTGTTAGAGACATTATCTGTTAAGAGAATAACGGTTCATACTGGGTATAAACAAAAACAAAGAAGAGACCACAATCTCCCTAGGGTATTAAGTTTTTATTAAAACAACAACTTTAAAAATCATTGCACTCACAATTACGATGTGTACACAGGTTTGTACAAATCATGCCTCTCTTGGGTTTCCTCTCTCAGTGGATGGAACAAGTCCTCGAGCACCCACCATCAGGATACAGCCTGCTAACATGTAGCCTACAGCCTCCACCACTCACAGGTTGAGTAGGACCAACTGCGCATGCAGTTTTCCCGCTCTGCTAGCATTGCCAGCTTTGTGTATAGCCAGGCGAATGCACGGTGGGTCCGGCTCAGCCTGCCAATGGTGGAAGCTTTGGTGGCTTGCACGAATCTTCCTGTTAGCGGGCTGTATCCTGATAGCATGCGCTCGAGGATTTGTTCCATCCACTGGGAGAGCAAACCCAAGAGAGGCATTGGGGTTGATTTACTAAATCTGGAGAGTGCAAAATCTGGTGCAGCTGTGCCAGGTAGCCAATCAGCTTCTAAACTCTGCTTGTTCAGTTAAGCCTTGATAAAAAAATCTCAAAGCCATTTGGTTTCTATGCAGAGCTGCACCACATTTTTCACTCTCCAGTTTTAGTAAATCCACCCCACTGTTTGTACAAGCCTGTGTACACATTGTAAATGTGAGTATGATGATTTTTAAGGTGTTGTTTCAAAAAAACTTAACACACATACATACTTTACATGGTGTTCCAGTCACCCGGAGGAATCTGAGAGAGCTGCATCTGCAGGTGTATATCTGAACTTTAACTATTCATAGGATTCATGCAAAAGATCATATTGAGCTATCTGGAGTGTTATAGAGATCAGCGCATCGGCTTGGTGTTGGTTTATGATTGTTGTATACTGGTTATAAGAAGTGTGAATTGTATCTAAAGACATTTTGTGAAAGATTGTGGAAATCATTTTTCTTTGAAAATGTAATAAAAACTATGATATTTAAAAAGATCACTCTAATTTAATTTGCTGCATTTTTACCAATTTCAAAAAAGTTTAAGCAATGACAAACTCCATATGAGACAACAAAGGCAAATAACATTTTCAATGTCATATTATTAAAACTATGTCTTAAATAAATATGCCACATTCATTCGTTATTACTCTTAAATGCATATTGTATTTACCTGCACTATAGTATAAATCAGGTCTCTCTAGAATGTCACCTTCATGGATAAATGGTTCAATAGGCTCATCACCATATAAATATTGCTCATTTTCATCCATTTGGCGACTCTCCACCATTTCAAGCCACTGAGAATTGTGCCAGCGGAACTTCTCACTCTGTATCTTTTTTGCCCATTCTTCATCATATTCCTAAAGAGAATTAAATCATTATAAATGTTTAAAAGAATTACATGAATGCCTAAAGTTGGAAACTGAGCTGTAGAAGACCAGTGCTAAGGAATGAAGACCTAATAAGTATGGAAAGTGCCTGATGGTGCATCTTTCAAACAGTTTATAAGGAATATGGAAAGCAGGAACAAGTCAATTTAACAGCAAATATATAGTTCTGGCAGAAACATCATGCCAGAGCAAAATTTGGATTTTTTCAACATACTTACCTGTAAAATCCATTTCTTGGAGTACATCACGGGACACAGAGCAGGCTATTCATGACTATGTGGGTTATAGGCCACCTATAGGTGAATGGACACTGGCCGACCAATCAGAGAGGAAATCCTCTTCTATAAATCCCCTCCTATACAGGAAGTACTTCAGTTTTTATAGCAAGCAATTAAAATTCCAGAAAGAGGGGCAGGACCTCTCGGTCTCGTGATGTACTCCAAGAAATGGATTTTACAGTAAGTACAGTCAGGTCCATAAATATTGGGACATTGACACAATTCTAACATTGGCTCTATACACCACCAAAATGGATTTGAAATAAAAAGAACAAGATGTGCTTTAAATGCAGACTGTCAGCTTTAATTTGAGGGTATTTACATCCAAATCAGGTGAACGGTGTAGGAATTACAACAGTTTGCATATGTGCCTCCCACTTGTTAAGGGACCAAAAGTAATGGGACAGAATAATAATCATAAATCAAACTTTCACTTTTTAATACTTGGTTGCAAATCCTTTGCAGTCAATTACAGCCTGAAGTCTGGGATGCATAGACATCACCAGACGCTGGGTTTCATCCCTGGTGATGCTCTGCCAGGCCTCTACTGCAACTGTCTTCAGTTCCTGCTTGTTCTTGGGGCATTTTCCCTTCAGTTTTGTCTTCAGCAAGTGAAATGCATGCTCAATCGGATTCAGGTCAGGTGATTGACTTGGCCACTGCATAACATTCCACTTCTTTCCCTTAAAAAACTCTTTGGTTGCTTTTGCAGTATGCTTTGGGTCATTGTCCATCTGCACTGTGAAGCGGCGTCCAATGAGTTCTGAAGCATTTGGCTGAATATGAGCAGATAATGCCCGAAACACTTCAGAATTCATCCTGCTGCTTTTGTCAGCAGTCACATCATCAATAAATACAAGAGAACCAGTTCCATTGGCAGCCATACATGCCCACGCCATGACACTACCACCACCATGCTTCACTGATGAGGTGGTATGCTTAGGATCATGAGCAGTTCCTTTCTTTCTCCATACTCTTCTCTTCCCATCACTCTGGTACAAGTTGATCTTGGTCTCATCTGTCCAAGGGATGTTGTTCCAGAACTGTGAAGGCTTTTTTAAATGTCGTTTGGCAAACTCTAATCTGGCCTTCCTGTTTTTGAGGCTCACCAATGGTTTATATCTTGTGGTGAACCCTCTGTATTCACTCTGGTGAAGTCTTCTCTTGATTGTTGACTTTGACACACATACACCTACCTCCTGGAGAGTGTTCTTGATTTGGCCAACTGTTGTGAAGGGTCTTTTCTTCACCAGGGAAAGAATTCTTCGGTCATCCACCACAGTTGTTTTCCGTGGTCTTCCGGGTCTTTTGGTGTTGCTGAGCTCACCAGTGCGTTCCTCCTTTTTAAGAATGTTCCAAACAGTTGGTTTTGGCCACGGCTAATGTTTTTGCTATCTCTTTGATGGGTTTGTTTTGTTTTTTCAGCCTAATAATGGCTTGCTTCACTGATAGTGACAGCTCTTTGTATCTCATCTTGAGAGTTGACAGCAACAGATTCCAAATGCAAATAGCACACTTGAAATGAACTCTGGACCTTTTATCTGCTCATTGTAATTGGGATAATGAGGGAATAACGCACACCTGGCCATGGAACAGCTGAGAAGCCAATTGTCCCATTACTTTTGGTCCCTTAACAAGTGGGAGGCACATATGCAAACTTGTAATCCCTACACCGTTCACCTGATTTGGATGTAAATACCCTCAAATTAAAGCTGACAGTCTGCAGTTAAAGCACATCTTGTTTGTTTCATTTCAAATCCATTGTGGTGGTGTATAGAGCCAAAAATGTTAGAATTGTGTCGATGTCCCAATATTTATGGACCTGACTGTATACAGAAAAAATCCAATTTTCTTTATTGTACATCACGGGACACAGAGCAGGCTATTCATGACTATCTGAGATGTCCCAAAGCAATAGGAAATTTGAGGGGATGGTGACACCATGATAGCCACTGTCAATAATCCTTCAGGACCTACTCAGCCATCCGTAAAAAACTGCAGTCAAAGACAGAAACCTCTGCGGCTCCGACATCCATCTAATAGAACCTTATGAATGTGTGAACCGAAGACCATGTAGCGACCTAGCAAACCTGAGCCACTGATGCCTGATGGTGGATTACCCAAGATGCACCCACACTCCAGGTGGAGTGTGCCTTCACCAGAAAGGGTGAGACTTTACCTTTCAAACCATTGGCTTGAATGATCAATTGGCGGTTCCAATGAGAAATAATCACCTTGGATGCCTCCTGCCCCTTCCTAAGCCTCTCTGGCAGCACAAATAGAGTATCTAACCTCCTGACATGTGCTGTCACCTTCAAGAAGACCCTTACAGCATGAACCACATCCAAGATATGCAGAAATCTTTCTCTTGTCGACTGAGGCCTAGGAAAGAACTATGTCCTGATTGAGATGAAAGCTAGAAACCACCTTTGGTAAAAAGCACAGATGAGGTTGCAACACCACCTTATCATGATGCAAAACCATAAATGGTTCTCTGCAAGATAGAGCTGCCTGCTCAGACACCCTTCTCGAAGAAGTTATTGCCACTAGAAGCAACACCTTATGAATCAACAGGACCAGTGGAATCTCTCCAATAGCTTCAAATGGTGGTTTTTGCAAAACCAACAAAACCAACTTCAGGTCCCAAGGACAAAAAGGCAACCTGAAAGGAGGAGCAATATACATCACTCCTTGTAAAAAAAGTGTGGACCAAAGAGTATAACACAATGTGCCTCTGAAAAAAATATATCTAATGTAGAAACCTGGTCCTTAATGGTACCAGCAGCCAAATTCTTCTGCAATCCCATTTGAAGACAAGATAGAATACTGCCAATCACATACTTTCATGGGTGCCATTTGTGAACCCACAATGGCAAGGGTGAACCAGGCAGTGTCAGCCTTCCAGGTTCTGTAATAAATGTTCCTAGAAACTTCCTTTCTAGCACCCAACATGATGGGGATGACAGAAGCCAACAATTCCCTACCCTTCAGGACCTGGGTTTCAATAGCCACGCCATCAAATTTAGTGACTGTAAAGCTGGGTGCAATTTAAATCCTTGAGACAGCAGGTCTGGCCGATACGACAGGGCCCACGGCCGGTCTACGGCGCGCACCAGGCTTCCTGGGCCAGTCCTGAGCATTCAGCATCACCGGAATAGACTCCTCCTGAATCCTGCGTAAGAGATGCGGCAGCAGTTGGATCAGAGGAAAGGCATAAATCTGTGAGAGCTGGTTCCAAGAAATCACTAAGGTGTCTACCCCTGCTGAGCGAGGGTCCCTTACCCTGGACACAAAAAGACAGACCGTGTTGTTGAACCTGGATGCCAATATATTTACATTCGGGCATCCCCATCACTGGAAGATTTCCTTGAAAACATAGAGATGCAAAGCCCATTCCCCTGGAATCAACTGCCAGCGACTGAAATAATCCGCCTGCCAATTTTCCACACCTGGAATGAACACTGCTGACAGACTTGGAACATATCTTTCTGCCCAGGTCAGAATGTAGTTCACTTCCTTCAGAATGTAGAATGTAGTTCACTTCCTTCTGAGCACCTCGAGTCCTGGTACCGCCCCTGGTGGTTGATGTATGCCACTGCTGTGGACTGTCGGATGGATCCTCACAGGCCAATCCTGAAGCTTGGATGTCCAATAAGTTCCAGGACATTGATGGGAATAACCCTTTCCTGTGGAAGCCATGTTCTCTGAACTGTGGTCTTCTCCAGAGCTACCCCCCAACCTGAAAGGCTGGCATCGGTGGTTACCAACTTCCACACCACTGGCCAAAAAGATCTTCCCTTCTAAAAAATGTGAGTTATCAACCATCAATTCAGGCTCTGCCGCACCTCTGGCGAGGTGACAATGTTTTTGTTCCAAACAGACAGACTGTACCTTTGCAGCAGTCTGGAGTGCAATTGAGCATAGGGAATAGCCTCGAATGAGGACACCATCTTCCCCAGCAACCTCATACAGAGGCGAATTGAAGGATACCTTTTGGCCTTCAAACTGCAAACCTCGTTCCTCAAGGCACAACATTTCCCTGGAGGCAGAAATACCTTGTCTGAACTGTGTCTATGACCATCCCCAAATACTCCAGGCTCTGCAGTGGTTCCAGGGGCCTACTTCTTGAGATTGAGCACCCAGCCCAGCTGTTCCAGGATCTGCATCGTAAGGGCCACATCCTGCTTCAGATCTGACACCGATTGATTTCTGAGCAAGAGATCGTTTACATAACCTATGTCTGATACTCCCCGAGTTCTGAGTAGCCCCAACACCGGAGCAAAAAATGTTTGTGAAAACTCTGGGAGCCGTGGCCAGCCCAAACGGTAGTGCTATAAACTGAAAATGCTGAGCCCCTACTGCAAACCGCAGAAATCTTTGGTGAGGAATGAATATCGGTACATGCAGGTATGCGTCCTTGATGTCTATGGACACTAAAAAATCTCCCTCCTGTATGGAAGCCACTACTGACCGAACCTATTCCATACAAAAGAATTGGACATTTAGGAACTGATTTAGCCCTTTGAGGTCCAAAATGGGCCTTACATCCCCATTTGGTTTTGGGACTGTAAACAGGTCTGAATAAAACCCCTGAAACCTTTTGTCGACTGTAACCTCCATGATTATTCTTTGAGCCAATAGGCAATCGAGTGCCTGAAATAAAGCACTTCTTCTCTCTGGATTTATTGGTAC